TGAATGGTCACTAAATGAACTGTTGTAAGTTGAGGACTACCTATAGTGTTAGTTCAAATGGATTTTCCATGTAAATTTGTTTTAAGTTATCCTTTTAATATCTTTTAAAGGTTGAAAGCAAAGGCCATCTTTGCCTATATTTTTCCCTATGGATTCTGTGGAGAATTTTATATTCTCTCTATTTAATACAAGTAATGTAAAGTCATAATTCTTGGATTGCTCAGCTGATTAGAGCAAAGTGAGCGTTTGGATTTTGTAATGGTGTTTTCCACTGAAAATTTTTCAACTTAAAGAAATGTTAGGAAATAGAATAGAAAATGCATGTCATAGAAATATATTTCCCATCCAGTTTTAAATAGTGTAGACAGAGGAAAAATGTAACAGCCTACTTTTCATTAAGCATAGGCCAAATTGAATTTTAAAAAAAAAACAAACCCTGTGTTTTTCACATGCCCTTTAAGGAATCCTGTTAACTTTCTCGTTTTTGTTTTTTTTACTTCTTCATTTAGCTTCAGTATTTTTTGCAGAAAGTTTCCTTTAACAACAGTGCTGGGGAAGAGATTTCATTTTGCCACAATGGGGAATTACTAACTGGATTTGATATTCTCAACTGGGTCACATTCCCAAACAAATCTTTTCTAAGAGTCCAGATTGGAAAGATTGACCCCAGGGCTCCGCTAGACAAGTTTCTCACCATTTCTGTGAAGGATGCTACGTGGCCCCTTATATTTAACCAGGTGTGTCTCATTTTCTACTATTTAGGAAATCATTTAAGTCATTGTCCCATATCAATAAATGATGTAAATACAATAATATTGGATTAAATTTTCAAATTGCTGAAATAGCCTAAAGATTCTCTGCTTTTGAAATATATTGAATATATAGCAAAATTTAAAGTATTGAAATATATGATTCAAAAATAATTTCAGCTGGAGATTTAATCTGTCTCTATATCTCTTCAAAATGTAATAACATTGGAAATATGATTGCACACCAGATAAAGTTCATTTGTCTAAAATTAAACCTAAATTAATCATGTGACACAAAAGTTTCCTTCTTTCTACATTTGTATGACAGAGTTCTACACTTGATTTGGAAGAGCATTATATCCCAGTTTAGTTTAATAATTTCAGACAATTATATCCACCTCTCACATTTTTCAATCTGTGGACAAAAAAAAAATTAAACTATAATGGATGGGTCTCAAAATAAAGATCTTTTGGAAGTGTGTATGTAAATAAATGACCAGTATTATCTGTAAATCCTTAAAGAGAAGATCAAATTCAATCTGCTCCAGGTTTCCAACAAATAAAGAAAGCCCCTCAAAACTACATCATTCTACTATAAGCAGGCAGACAGAAAATAGCTGCATTTTGAAAATCAGATTTTTGCTCTTTTGAAGGTCACAAAAGTCTGATTAAAGATGGAAAAGTCAATGGAAAAGTCAACCAGATTTTGAAAGATGTAGGACACCAGCCTAAAATATGGAACCTCATGAAGATCATATTTGAAGGCCTCTTGAGTTAAGATTCTAGTTCTGATTTCCTCAGAACAGATCTTTAAAATATTATTCTTGGGTTGATTAGTATGATAGGTGTGAAATAAGGAGCAGTTCAGGGAGTGGAGAATTTAAACCAGAAACAAATCTGGAGAATGGAATGGTAAGGTTTGGATTAGATGTGAAGAGCATGTCTAAGCAATGAAAAGAACAATCCCAGAGCATAAATGTTTCATCTGAAAGAATTCTCATTTTATTTATGAGCAGACATTGCCTCTTTCCATCTGTAACAAGAAATGTCCTCTTGGCCATAGCAAGTTAAAAGTGGAAGGGAAATTATCTTGTTGCTATGACTGTAGACAGTGTCCAGAAGGGAAGATAGCTGACCAAATGGGTAAGCAAAGGAACATATTGAATATATTTATTATATTAATTAATATAAATGGGTACTGAGTTATTAATAAAAAATATTGCGCCTGAAAATCTTGAGCTTTACATCACATTGAACTTTTCAACAATGAAATATCTGAACTGAATTTTCATAGCTCGGCAAGAAATTCGATAACACTAATCAGTTCACTCTAACTAGCAGGTTCAATTTTCCAGATTTGAATTGTGCTTTTTAATATTCCCTTGAATATATTCTAAATGTTTTTTTAGGAAATCAAAATTTCTAGATAGAGTATGTGAAATGCTTCCTTTTGTACCTTCTTTTTTGGAAGTAAAGGTAACTGGTAATGGTGACAGCATTTACCGCAGAGGTTACGTTTTCATCTGTTTTTACTTCCTGATTCATCATAATATATTCATTGCTTATTGATCTTATATGGCTGCCAACTCATGTAATGAACCTAGGTGGCTCACCACAATCAATAAAAAAATGCAAATACAGTCACCACCAGCACCAGGTGACTGAGCTAATTGTCTCATTCCTGTCCCATCTTAGACTGACATATTGACCAGGAGACAAGTCTTTCCAACCTAATACAGGAATAAAAAGATAGAGCTGCTCAGCGCCGGCCCGACTAGATCCAAAACTAAGCCTGCAGGCCCTCATGGCAGAGGAGCTGGTCTTTTATTCAGATGGGGCAAAGCTGTTTTCTTTACCTCTCACATTCTTACAGCTTCACCAGCTTCTGAATAAAAGACTTTGGCTTCTCTCCCACATGGGTCAGCCTTTTCTGGAGCTCTTTGGAAAGTAACTACAGCAGGGGTAGTCAACCTTGGCTCTTTTATGACTCGTGGACTTCAACTGCCAGAATTCCTGAGCCAGCTAAGTCTACGAGTCATAAAAGAGCCAAGGTTGACTACCCCTGAACTACAGTAAAGCTATATGAGAAATGGGGTGGGGAGGAGTAAGTGGAATCCAGGATGCTAACAAAGCAGGCCCGGTCTGTAGAGACGTAGCAGGGCAGGATAAGGGCAAAAATAGGCAGGAAATAGGCAGGGGGCATGTTGCAGCATTTCTGTAGTTGGTCGTAAGGGCAAATGATCACTGTGGTGCTGTAACATGCATAACTTTGGAACCGACTGTTGTCCCCAATTCGGGTCTGAGCCTGGTGCTGAGGCCGATGAAGAACACCAAACACAAGGTGCAGGTTTTCTTTTCTTTTATTAAAGTGTTGCAAGAAAAGTGGTCCTAGCCAAAATGCCAAGGAACCTCGAACCACAGATTTGTTACAAGCTTTACACATGCATATTCCCTGTGAATAAGCATTCTTTGTTCTTGCCAGACAAACTCCATAATTACAGGATTTCTTGTCTTCTTTCAAGCATATGCCATAACCTTGCTTTGCTTTGGCAGTCAGCCCATCAGGGTCATAAATACTTTTGCGGGGGAGGGGTCATAATTCAGAACAGTTTCTAATTGAACTGTCCTAAATTGAGAAATATCTGTATTATGAATTATTTTTTAAAAAAAGTAATCACAACCCCTTTGTAACTTACAGAACCTTAGTGGATCTGTTCTATTACTGATGATGCATGCTAAAAAAAAATAGTGTTTCCATGAATGATTTTCTTGTTTGTTTTTTTCTCCAGACTTAGATGATTGTTTCTCATGTCCAGAAGATCAATACACAAACAAAGATCGGGATAGTTGTCTTCAAAAAACTATAACTTACTTGACTTATCAAGAACCTTTGGGGATGTCTTTGCTCATCATAGCAGTCTTCTTGTCTTTCATCTCAGCTTTAATACTGGGGATCTTCATTAAACACCAATACACTCCCATTGTCAAAGCCAACAATAGGAACCTCACTTATAGCCTTCTCATTGCTCTCCTCCTCTCCTTCCTTTGCACTTTTCTCTTCATTGGACAACCTAACCAAGTGAAATGTCTCTTGCGACAAACTGCTTTTGGCCTCATCTTCTCTGTAGCTCTTTCTTGTATATTGGGAAAAACAACCATTGTTGTTCTTGCTTTCATGGCCACCAAGCCAGGTTCGAAAATGAGGGAATGGGTGGGAAAAAGGATGGCTCTTTCTATTGTCCTACCTTGCTCCCTGATACAATTCACCATTTGTCTAGTGTGGTTGGTAACTTTCCCTCCATTCCCAGATTCTGACATTCACTCCATGCCTAAAGAAATTCTCCTGCAATGTAATGAAGGTTCAACCATCATGTTTTATATTGTGCTTAGCTTTATGGGGGTTTTGACTGCTGTCAGCTTTACGGTGGCATTCCTAGCTAGGAATTTACCTAACAGCTTCAATGAAGCCAAATTTATCACCTTCAGCATGTTGGTCTTTTGTAGTGTTTGGGTATCATTTGTTCCGACTTATCTGAGCACCAAGGGGAAATATATGGTCGCTGTAGAGATTTTCTCCATTTTGGCTTCAGCAGCTGGATTACTGGGTTGCATCTTTTCCCCCAAATGCTATATTATTATACTGAGACCTGATCTAAATAAGAAGGATCAACTAATAAAAAAGTGAAAGTTATTTTTTATACCAGATCTCTTTAATGCAGCCAAACTGCTTACTTTCAGTGTAAAGGTTTTTTTAAAAAAAAATTGGTAGTTCTGCATTCTTTCCTCTGCCAGCAAATAAAGATGATATGCAAGGAAGTAGCTCTGATAATCTCTTCCAAGTTCTCTTCAAAACCTAGATAGCCTTTTCTTTCATATGTTAGATAATTATTCTGAGTTTTGTTTAGAGTAAAAGAGAATGCTTAAAACAATGGTGCATGAGAATCAATTTTTAACCATTTAATCCCTGCTAATTTCAAAGTGAAAGCCTTCATGTCTTGCAGCAGTGGTGAGATTCAGCCAGTTTGCACCAGTTCGGCAGAACCGGTAGCTAATTTTTTGTTGCCCAGGCCAGAACGGACTTCCGGAAGCGGCATCCACATAGAGAACCAGTTGTTCACATATTTGAATCCCACCACTGTCATGCAGCTTATGAGTTTCATAATGCCCCTTCCTCCCAATAAAGAAAACTCCTCCCAATATTGTCCACAATCATATTTTTAAATGTAGAACAAAATCCACATTAATATCCCCATGTTAATATCTGAAAATTTGACAGTCATTTTGCTGTTGCTGGAAAGGTTTGTGAGTGGAATTGAGAAATCATGAATTCTAAATCTCCCATAAGCTTTAATTCTCAGCTAGTATGTTCTTGAGTATGTTGGAAGAAGTTGGTGTTGGAGAATTGCTTCTCACCTTCTCTGATGTAATTCACCTTATTCATGATAACGTGTCCCATATGTTTCAGTTTGCTTAATTATGATATCATTCTTTTTAATGAGTAATTTTTAGAGCCCCACCCCCTTACCACATGTAACAATGACTTTGGTCATTGTACATAATAATACAGTCCATAAAGAACAAAAAATTAAAGTGCAATAAAAAGATGCAAGAGATTACAATCCAATTAATTATGATATAACCAACTAGTAGACTCCATTCTATCATGAGATCCACGGGCCTTAATTTCTGATGAAACATTTTTCATAGGATGGGCATCAGGGCAGAAAAAGGCTTTCTTTCCTCTGAAATGAGGTCATCCCCAATTCTATTGCTTTTTTTTTTTTTCAAAATCCTCAGGACTTGGCTTTGTCATTGGACCTCAGGAACCTGTGATATCTTTAGGTAGCTCCATTGCTGATAGAATCTATTATAATTGGCTTTATTACAGTTGCTGGAATTAGGTATTTCTAGTTGAATGAAAAGAAGGACAAGAAGTGATATGATAACAGTCTTCCAACATCTAAGGGCTGCCACAAAGAAGAGGAGGGTCAATATATTCTCCAAAGCACCTGAGAAGAAGCAATGGATGGAAACTAATTAAAAATAGAAGCAATCTAGAACTAAGGAGAAATTTCCTGACAGTGAGAACAATTAATCAATGGAATGATTTGTCTCCAGAAGTTGTTGGTGCTTCAACAATGGAGATTTTTTGGAAGAGATTGAAATGGTATAGGGTTTCCTGTCTGACTAGGGGAATGGACTAGAAGACCTCCAAGATCCCTTCCAACTCTGCTATTCTGTTATTTCTGTTCTGTTATCTGTTCTGTTTATTTTTTTTACAATTTTATGATACGCCACCCAGAGTTATCTCTTGTGAGACAGACAACCATCTATATTTGATAAATAAAAAACTACATCTTAATTCATTGACTCAGTTCAGCATTATTTCTTTCTTTCAAACCATCCTTGAACTGAATAATCTTGCTACATCCCCACTCTTTATAGCAGATCCTGCATTGAGCAAAAGATTGACAAAATGACTTCAGTAAATAAATTTACTTTCTTTTTAAACTATATTTAAATGAACAAAATTTGGGACCTGATTATATATCTGTATCTGCCCAACATGATACCATCTTTAGAAGAGAATGTCCCCAAATTTTCTTTCCCCATTTTCTGCTTCTTGTCTAAGTTTTAAAAGTTTGCAGCAATAGAGCTATTCTACTGTAAGATTGTGACAGTTTACAAAGATGGAAGGAAGGTAGAACTGCAAGTAAGCTATTATCTCCCAGGTAATTATCAAATTAAGAAGTATTGTTCTTTTCTCCACGTATCAAGGGAATTCTAATAAACATGAGAAAACTATGAACCCAGGTTAAAAAAATGCATTACATTAATATCAGCTCAGAAATACAGAATTAAAAGTAGGGAGTACAAGAAAAATGCACATTAAATCTGTGATACTTCATTTTATATAACATTCATGAGAAGCTGATTGTTTGACATTCATGAGAGGCTCATCAGTGGAATGGTAACATTGAAGTTACACTTTGATTTGTACAATGAGTATATTATATATTGAATTACTTCTATTCAGAACACTGGTTTTATTCCTTTTTTCTGAGACAATGTGCATTTTTCCTGTCTGCAAACTCAGAAGTCCTCTTCCAATTGTTCACAAGTATTATCAGTCTGGGGACTTAATCATTGCTGCAATTATTTATCAAGTGTTCTTTCTTTCAAATGAGATCACTTTTCAAAGTGTTCCTTCTCATGATGTGCTTGATCAGTACCTGTAAGTATTCTCACCCACATTCTCAGATTCATCCCCAACATCACTTAAATGATTTCCTTCCTTCCTTCCTTCCTTCCCCCCCTCTCTCTTTCTCTCTCTCTCTCTTCCTCCTCCCTCTCTGTCAATCTTTCCTCAAATATAAAATGGTTACCATATTGCTAATTTTATTTGCCCTCATCCATGCTGAAATTCTATACTTCAGAGAAACTTTATCTCTCCTAATACTGCAGTCTCAAATGAAGCAAGTATTATTGCTTTTAATCACAACATGATATGGGTAATTTTTTTCTCAGGAATGTTCACATTCCTCTGCTTCTTGAGTGGAAAATCATGACTACTTTAGGCTGTGGGAATGTCATGGAAAATAGACTACATATATACTAGTACTCTCTAAAGTTTTGTTTTTCCCTTGCATCCAACCAAAGAATGAAAAGTGTTGGAACAATGGAAGAGGATGGCCTTTTTTACAGAATACAAATCCCAAATGAGAAGTTAATTCTAGAATGTTACGTGTGTCCATTAGAATGAAAACGTATGAATCCTCTCTCTTACCATTCATTCTGAATTGGAATGTTATTGTAAGTATCCAAATTAATCCTAGAAAAGATATCTCACCATGAATTTGACAAATTTCTAGAAGATAAATCTTAAAGAGAAAATAAATCAGGCTACAAATGTAATCAAAACTGAATGTTGGTTTATTCTTCCCCCATATCAGTTCTTTCCCAACCATAAAATATAGGGTTGTTGTTTGTTAAAGACCACATTCCAGGTGTCATGAGCAAATAATAAGCATTACATTTTGTGTGCATAAGAATATGCTTAATAATCAAACATAGCAACTGTCTGATTCTGAGCTAGACATATACTGACATAGTTTATAACTCTCACTGAAGGTTCCTCACTCATAATTACCAACATGCTTTGGCTCTGGCATTTGCTGTAAAGGAGATCAATGAACACTCCTCAATTTTACCCAATGTTACCCTTGGTTTCCACATTGCTACTGACTATCTTGAGGAAATTACAACTTATCATTTAGCAATGGAATTTCTATCTACAAAAGATAAATTTACCCCCAACTACAAATGTAATGACCAAACCAATATTATAGCGGTCATTGGAGGACCCCGTACTAAGACCTGCCTCAATATGGCAATCACTCTGTGCAACTACAAATTTCCTCAGGTGAGAACAGAAATGGAGCAAGATTGGAAGGTCCAGTAATTATTTATCATTTTTAGATATTGAGCCTCATGGTAGTTTTTCCTAGACATATACCAAAGCATCAGGCAAGAATAAAGAATAAGTCAGGCAGTTCATGATCTATAATGGAAATCAGACCCACTGTTGTTCTTTAACATAGTATGAAACTTCCTGATGCCAACTTGTTAAAGTAAATAAGTAAGACTGTTATGCTCTTTCTACTGAAACCAGAAGATTGTCATACACTAAGGCTTGAGGATTGTCTTAAAAAATTAAGCAAGGATGCCAAGGAACAAGCATACATATTGCATAATTTATCCTGGAAAAGTGTCTTTTTGCCTGTATTGTTTTCTTCTGTTTAGATCACATATGGATCTGCTCCACTGATGAATAAGGAAACAGCAGGACTTTTTATCAAATGGATGTTCCCAGATGAAATGCACCAGCTTAAAGGAATACTGCACTTACTGCTGCATTTTAGATGGACCTGGGTTGGCTTGATTTCTCTATATGAGGAAGATAAAGAGAGGTTCATTCAAAAGAGGCTTTCTATGTTTTCAGAGAGAGGAATCTGCTTTGACTTTATAGAAAATATCCCCCAAGTAATGTATGGTAATGAAGCTGTTGAGATGGTGGAGAAGGCAGATAAATTATACAAAGTCATCATGGGGAGTACAGCCATTGCAGTGATCTTAAATGCTGAAATTACAGGTGTGGTGACTTTGAGAGTTATTATCTATGGTTTAGATTCTGATGATATTCCAAAAGAGAGAAAAGCCAAAGTTTGGATTATGACAGCCCAGGTGGAGTTCACCTCCATTCTTTTGCAAAGAAAGTTACCTCTTGGTTTTCTCCATGGTGCACTTTCCTTTGCAATTCACTCAAAGGAACTGATAGGTTTCCAACATTTTATGCAGAAGCAAAGCCCAAACATAGAAAATGAAGATGGCTTTATTAGGGATTTCTGGAAAGATGCATTTGAATGCTCATTCACCAGTGATATTAAAGATGGGAATGCTGATAAGATCTGCACTGGAGAAGAGAAGCTGGAGTCTCTTCCTCAATCTGTGTTTGAAATGAGCATGACTGGACACAGCTACAGCATCTATAATGCAGTGTATGCTGTGGCACATGCTTTCACAGCCATGTGTGCCTCCAACTTCAAAAATAGTAGAATAATTGACGAGAACAGATGGAATCTGTTCTTTCAATCACCATGGCAGGTAATGTTAGCCAATATGACATCCAGGAATGTTATCAGGTCATGTAAACTGTACTGAATTTGATCAGACCAAATTTATCTGTTGGGTTTCTAACTTTCTCAATTATTTGTTGGAATTCTCATTTTAAAAATGTTCAATTATCATATCTGAGTTAGAGATGGGATAGATAATGCACATGATAGAAAACATAATTTTATTCCAGTTCTAAATAGTATAGATTTAACAGCTTTCCTTTCACTTAGCATAGGCCAAATTGAAATGAAGAAACAGAATTGCTCATAACCTTTATGGAATTTTGTTAACTTTCTGGTTTCTTTTTTTCTTGTTGATCTCCTTTTTCTTCTTTTAGCTCCATCATTTTTTGCAGCAGATCTCCTTTAACAACAATGCTGGGGAAGAGATTTCATTTGGCCCCAATGGAGAATTAGTAACTGGATTTGATATTCTAAATTGGGTCACATTCCCAAACACGTCCTTTCAGAGGGTCCAGATTGGAAAGATTGACCCAATGGTTCCCCTAGATAAGTTTCTCACCATTTCTGCCAATGATGCTGTTTGGCCCCTCATATTTAACCAGGTGTGTCACATTTTCCTCTTTGGGGAAACTCATTTAGTCACTCATTAAGTCATTTATATCAATAAATGATTTAAATGCAACAACAATACTTGGGTTAAATTTTTAGCAGCCTCAATTGAAAGAAATAGTCTAAAGAAACTCAGTTTTTGAAATATATTTCAAATATATTGCATATATACGTATCTATCAACATCCAACTTGAGAATCCAAATAAAACCCCAGGTTCATTCCATTTCTGAAAATCTTATTGTTTATTGAATACATTGTTTGGTTATATCAAAGCAAAACTAACTCTGAGGTTCTAATACCAATTCATAAACTTAAACAATAATTTTCTCAGCCAAACCCCCAAGTTTGGCTCCCCAAGTTCACTTTGTTATGGGAACCATCTGCTTCAAATCCACACCTGTTGTGGTCTCCTTGACAAGGCTTCAACCTCTTACAGTCTTCAGCTGAACCAAATAAGTTTCGTTTCTCCATCTACCCATTTGAAAGTAACACCTCCTCCCCCTAATCCAAAGGCAAGTTGAAATGCAGAGGCACATAACTGACAAAGTTTCATCTTGACAGTATCAAAATTTATTGTATTGAAACCTATGATTCAAAAATGAAGAATTTATGCTGGAGATTTTATCTCCATCCAAAGGGTAGCATCATTCAAAACATAATTACATGGTGTCTTTAAGATTCATTAAAGTGATGAAGGAAGGCTTTCTTTTTCTAAAAGTGTAACATAAACATCTATGAGTGAAGGGATATGACACAATAAACATCTGTCTTACCTCTTTCTATGTTTGTAAAAAAAATTCTAAAGCTGATTTAGAAACATGATAGATCAGTTCAGTCTAATAATTTCAGATAATTACTCCCCCCCCAAATAGTTTAATTTATAGAATGAAGAGAACCATTTTAAACTTTGGTGGGTATATCTCAAAGTAAAGAGCTTTTGGAAATTAGTGTGAGCAAATGATTAGGATTATTGGCAAATCCTTAAATAGAAGATCAAATTCCATTTGTTTCAAATTGCTCCAATTTTCAGACAAATAAATCAAGAAGGCTTCTCAAAACTACATTATTCTGCTTTCAGAAGCAAAATCGTCTATAGCTCAATTTTGAAAATCACATTTTTATTCTATGAACCATTCACAACAGTTTCAATAAAAGATGGTCCATGGCATCAATGAAAAAATGAACCAAGTTTTGAAAGGGATATAGTAAATGTAGAACCCCGAGTTTAAAACTAGACCTTAAGGAACGTGTTTTCCAAGAGGTTCAAATTTGAAAACTCTCCCACACCAGCTTTTGATTCTGATTTCCTCAGACAATATGTTCAGAATACTATTCCTGGGAATGATCAGTTTATTAGTGCAATAGCTGTGAAAGAACATGCAACTGAAGATTAAAAAAAAAAGAAAAGTTTTGAATTAGCTATGAAGATTTGGGGTATGTTTAACTGATGAAAAGGACAATCCTGAAATATAATTTTTTTAGTTGAAAGACATCTCATTTTATTAATGAACAGACATTGCCTCTTTCCATCTGCAATGAGAAGTGTCATCTTGGCCATAGCAAGATAAAAGTGGAAGGGAAGTTATCTTGCTGCTATGAATGTCAACGGTGTCCAGAAGGGAAGATAGCTGACCAAATGGGTAAGCAAAGGGATGTATTGAATATATCAATGACTTTATAAATATAAATGGGATCTAAATTTTTAATATTATAGTACTGAAAACCTTCAGCTTCACATTATTATTGTATGATTCAGCAATGAAGCAATTGAACTGAATGTTCATAATTCAACAAGATATTTGATGATAACTAATCAGTACATTCTAACAAGCTGGATCAATGGATTCCCTAGATTTGAATTGACCCTTCTTCAGGTTCCTTGAATATATTCTAAATATTTTCAGGATACCAAAGTTTATTGGTAGACTATCTGAAATGCTGATAATGGCATTTGCATTTAATGCAACAGTAATGTCTTTCTCTAGGTTTATATTTATTTTTATTCCCTATTCCATGCAGGTATATTCATTCATTGATTTTCTTATGCAATACAGTACATATGGCTGCCTAGATGGCTTGAAACAAACCATAAGAAACTTATAAAAACAAAGCCATTCTTGCCACGAGTGCCAGACAAATCAGCCTCCTGACTCAATTGCCATCCTAGATCAACACTTTGGAGAGAAGCCATCTTCCTAGCTTACTACAAGGGTAAAAGTGCAGGGATTCCTCAAAACTCAAATGAGAGAGTGGTGCAAAAGACTGGGGCAGCTACACAGAAAGTGTTCCTCCAAACCCATTAGATAATAACATTTAACAGGGCAATCTGGGGGTGCCCACTTCTCTGATGGCAGATAATCCACCCATAACGTGTCTCAGTGACATGCAAGCCTTTAAAGCGGAGAACCAGAAAGTTGAATTGCACCTGGAAAGCAACTAGGAGTCAGTACACTTCATGCAGCAATAGTATAACTCAGGTGTGCCATGAAACATTGACAATCTGATCTGCAAGTGCCATTGCTTTGTGGGGCAGTTGCTGTTTCCAGATGGCTTTCAGGTAGAGGAGATTTTAGCAATTGAAATGGGATGTCTCAAAAGCTAGAGTATGCTGAAACATCAAGGTGTGGTGAATTTGAAGTGCTGTAACAAAATAGAAGAGGTATCTCAGGTTTCATCTGTGGAGTCCTTGCTGAAATCCCAGCCTGGTCATTTTGTTTGCAGATGTTTCACTACTGAATTGATAGCAGTATCTGTTAGAAACTCAGTATGAGTTTCTCCCTGTCTATATACAGTGGTTTCCCTGTCACTTTTGGTGGGCATATGATTTTCTCTTTGGTGGTTCCTTGATTAGCATATTTTTCGGCCTGATTATTTGTCTTTTTAAATCCATGCTTATCTGGGTGTTCTCTGTTTACACTGCAGCACATTGTAAATTCTAGTATGAATTATTTTAAGAAAAAACAAGCAAAACCCCTATGTAAGTCACGGAATCTTACTGGATCTAGTGTGTAATAAATAACTGATTTTAAAAAGACTATAGAGTTTCCAGGAATGCTTTTCTTTTTTGTTTCTTTTTTCTCTCAGACTTAGATTATTGTTTCCCATGTCCAGAAGATCAATATCCAAACAAAATTCAGGATTGTTGTCTTCGAAAAAACATGACTTACTTGACTTATCAAGAACCTTTGGGGATTTCTTTGGTAGCCATAGCAGTCTCCTTATCTTTCATCTCGGTTTTAGTACTGGGGATCTTCATTAAACACCAGGACACTCCCATTGTCAAAGCCAACAACCAGAACCTCACTTACACTCTTCTCATTGCTCTTCTGCTCTCCTTCCTTTGCACTTTTCTCTTCATTGGAAAACCTAACAAAGTGAAATGTCTCATGCAACAAACTGCTTTTGGCATAATTTTTTCTGTGGCTCTCTCTTGTATATTGGGGAAAACAACCATTGTTATTCTTGCTTTCATGGCTACTAAGCCAGGCTCCAAAATGAGGAAATGGATGGGGAAAAGGATGGCTCTTTCTATTGTCCTACCTTGCTCCCTGGTACAATTCACCATTTGTATAGGGTGGCTGGCAATTTTCCCCCCATTTCCAGATTCAGACACACACTCCATGGCTAAAGAAATTGTCCTGCAATGTAATGAAGGTTCAACCACAATGTTTTATACTGTCCTTGGCTTCATGGGGTTCTTGACTGCTGTCAGTTTCACGGTGGCCTTTCTAGCTAGGAATTTACCTGACACCTTCAATGAAGCCAAATTTATCACTTTCAGCATGTTGGTCTTTTGCAGTGTCTGGGTGTCATTTGTTCCAACTTATTTGAGCACCAAGGGGAAATACTTGGTGGCTGTGGAGATCTTCTCCATTTTGGCTTCAGCTGCTGGATTACTGGGTTGCATCTTTTCCCCAAAATGCTATATCATTATATTGAAACCAGATCTTAATAAGAAAAAGCAACTAAAAAAGACATAAACTATTTTTTATGCCTGAAGCCTTGTATGAAGCAGAATCAATCACTTTGACCATTTCTTGTACTTTGGTGTTCTACTTTTTTTGTTGTGGGGATTGTGAAGAAATGTTGGAAAAAAGATGATATTGGCAAATTGCTTCTCAGCTACCCTGATATAAATTATCTTATTTATGATGAAAACTTCCCTATTTTGTCAGCTTGTTTGCTTTGGTGAGCCATTATTTATTTATCAAATTTTTGTATCCCTCTCCATCTCATGTAATTATTCTGGACAGTTGTACATAGGAGGAGAAGTCCATAAATATTTTTTTAAAAAATGCAACCAAATTTAACAGGTAAAAAGGTAAAAAAAAGAAATGGCAAAAAAAGGTTACAAGATAGTGCATTCTGCTTAACTATGATATAACTATGTAGTAGGCCTCACACTATCCTATGCAACAGGACCAGTGACATGTCTCTCCTGCTGGAGTACATATAAAAACATCTTAAATGGTAATTATATGTACATGTATATATATATATATATATATATATATATATATATATATATATATATATA